TCCTGGAACCTGGATCCTGGAACCTGGATCCTGGAACCTGGATCCTGGAACCTGGATCCTGGAAGCTGGATCCTGGAACCTGGATCCTGGAACCTGGATCCCGGGTCCTGTTAGCGCCCTCAGGTGGCCGGTTAGTGGTTAGGAGGGGAGGTCACACCATGCCTTCAGCCATGAGCTTCACTCCATCACAGCCCAACCTTCTGACCACAGAACCGTCCTCCTGGACCTTCTCCTCCTCCACCACATGAGGCAGCAGCGCTTTGTCAAAACCTCCAACATAACTCAAGGCCTGGAGGAGGAGGAGACATCAGGAGCAGTGAGACTCCCTGGACCGGCAGAGGAGCGGATCAGGATGGAAGGTGGACTCACTGACCTTCTCAAAGTCCTCCTGGGCTGAGGGGAGATCTGCAGCCAATGACGGGTCTCCTCTCTGCTTCTCCACCCTCTCCCCCCTCACCACCGTCGTCTTGACAACTTTGCTGACCTTTCTGCCCTGAACAGGCTGCGCCTCGAACTGCGACGCTGTGGTGGCGCCCAGCGGCTCAGAGAAGGTCAGCTGGAGACAGAAGAGGAACAGGGTCAGGAACCGATGGAGATCTACTGAAGAACTAAAGTTCAAAGGTCAGAGCGCTATGAGTCCAACCTGGAAACAGGCGGCCCTACGCTAGCCACCAGAGGGCGCTCTACCTCAAACTTGGTCCTCCTGACTGTCATTGGTGGAAGGATGAATATTAACCTACCCTGCTAAAAAACATGCTAACCCCACCTGCCTCCCGTTTCTATCCCACCAGTAGGGGGCCACCATGCAGGCAGTCGCTAAGTCTTGCTTATTGTCACAGAAACCTTGCAACGATTGAACTGCGGCTAACTGCTAACGGGCTGACTGCTAATGCTGCTGACTATTAATGCGTCTAACTGCTAATGTGGCTAACTACTAATGCAGGTAACTACTAATGCAGCTAACTATTAATGCGTCTAACTGCTATTGCGGCTAACTATTAATGCAGCTAACTACTAATGCAGCTAACTACTAATGCAGCTAACTATTAATGTGTCTAACTGCTAATGCGGCTACTGCTAATGTGGCTTGACTATCAATGCAGCTAAATGCTAATGTGGCTAGCTACTAACGCGGCTAACTATTAATGCGTCTAACTGCTAATGCGGCTAACTATTAATGCGTCTAACTGCTAATGTGGCTAACTACTAATGCAGCTAACTACTAATGCAGCTAACTATTAATGCGTCTAACTGCTAATGCGGCTAACTATTAATGCAGCTAACTACTAATGCAGCTAACTATTAATGCGTCTAACTGCTAATGCGGCTACTGCTAATGTGGCTTGACTATCAATGCAGCTAAATGCTAATGTGGCTAGCTACTAACGCGGCTAACTATTAATGCGTCTAACTGCTAATGCGGCTAACTATTAATGCAGCTAACTACT